TCCTTCCCAAGCTCTCTCTCTCTCTGTAACACTTTTGAAGCATAAGAATGTTTTTATTCCTGTTTTCTCTCTGTATCTCCAACGATGTCGCCCTTTTTGGAGCTAGCTCGTCATTAGGTCGTCCCTCAGTACATCAGACCACTAAAGACGGCCATCTCAAAGGTTAGTTTTCTCTTGTTCCGTTTCTCCGTTCCGCCGCCTGTTTCGCTGGCCCCCGGTACGGTAATACCAACCGTCAGTTTGTATATACATATACATAGGTGTTCTTTGTCAGACATCAAAAACTCACGTGAGCTTGTTCGGCTCTTAATTTTGTTTTGTTTTCTCGGCACGCCGACCGCGCTCCCGTTGCCTCTGTCTCTCTCGGAACTCACTCTTGCCGGTTTGTCTGTTGTCCTTGGAAGGTGTCCAGTTTACCTCTGCGATGTCCGTTTTTGTACTAAATCATGCATTGCTCTGGCCTGATGTTTTCCATTAATTTCCGCTATCTGCGTGTGTTGGAGCCCTCTCCATCTCCTATCCATGAAGCGTTTGTCGCGCCCATCCACACCGCTCACTACGCCTTACGCTCTACCACTATCAGATGCCGTAACACAGTAGCGCGCGCACATGTGTGCCCTTTTCATCCTGGCTAGAGTGTGCTACCGTTGACTGCTGTCTCCTTTCGAGGCTGTCATCCCCCGTCGAAATTGTTGGGACGAAGATGACTAGTCATGTCCAGATGATCCTTTCTCATTCACCTCGTTCATGTTTGTTCGCAGCTGACTCTTTTTATTGGTCTACTACTGTACCCAAATGCGAGCAGTGTGCACCGTGTTCCATACTTATATACATATATACATACATACATACATACCTACGTATACACATACCCGTAGTTTTAAAATCGGTCGTTGGGTTGTTGCTACTACAGTCTATTTGCGTTCCAATAATTTTGTTGTCAAGTGATCGGTACTGTTCTGTTTGGGCGAAGGTGATAACTTTTTAAGTGCATTGTTTAGTTGTGCGCGTGTGACTTTTGTGACCAACTGTTTTGTTTCGTCCATATCGTGCAACCAAGCAAATACATACCATAATTTGGACATCCCCTGTGCGAGCATTGATTTACACATTTCCAGTCGCCATCATACACTGAGGTGAACTGTCCTGATCATTGCCAATTGCACAAGACATGCAAAGTAAGTATGAATGTGTGAGGTGGTTAGGAAATGCGCCTGTTCTGAGGGCCGAAATGAAGTTAAACCTCCATGGTCAACACGGAGTGCACAGACTTCTCCGAGCATTTGACGTGATGTATATTGCATCCGATGCGAAGTGATAACAAGAGCACAACTGCTCTGGGAAATGAACTAATGAAGTGTTGTTAGCTTAATTCAGTAGTTCGAACTAGCTGCGAACAGTTGACGAATAACACCTTTTAACGGTCAGTGGCGCGCGGTTTAGCCTCAGACGTGTGTGAAATGCATACACACGCACGATGCTCAGTGAGCACTGGACGGAAATCAAGGAAGCGTTTCAAATGTCAATCGAAACAACAGCAAATTCAGACTCACGATCAAATGAAAAAAGATGGATCTCCCCTCTTCGGTTGCCCTGGTGGACGCTCGCAAAGCCATTCCTTCCGATTCAAACTACGATAAAGCGCGCAAATCTCTTTAACGCCAGCTCATCAAGAGTCTGAGGAATGACTGCGAGAAGTGGTGGGTAGGAAAGTGTAGAGAAATGGAGAAGGGCTGCGGCTATTGGTAATAGTCGCAATCTTTTTCAATTAGGAGTACAGGACCAAGGAAAGCAGACGCAAGTGAGGTCATTAAGGAGTCTGACGGCACACTGATTTAAATTCAGGAACGTCGCCTTGAACGTTGGACAGAACATTTAAAGGCACAATTTAGCTGGTCCCCTTCGACACAAGACTTTCCCCCATTCGATCCAACTGTGCAAATACTGCCAGTTGACATCAGTTTTCCATCTGAAATAGAAGTTACCTGAGAAATAAATTATCTCAAAATGTATAAGGCTTCCGGCTCCGACGGGCTGTTCCCATCGGTTTTTAGGGATGGAGGTCTAGTCTTGGTTTTGGATTCAGTGTGGGAAAAGGAACAGGTTCCAACTGAATGGTGTGAATCGGTGATCATACCAACTTATAAGAAAGGTGACAGGTCCTCTTGTGAAAACCACAGAGTTCAATTAACATTGCGTCTAAACTTCTCCCCGGTATCATACTCCGTCGATTGTCTGCAGCTCGTGAAGGGTGCACACGTGGGAACCAGGCTGGTTTTAGACCAGATCGAGGTTGTATCGACCACATCTTTACTCTTCGTCAGATCCTAGAATACAGACACCTTTCGTAGACCCACCATTTTTATTTTCCTCGATCTAAAAGCGGCTTTCGACTCAGTCGACCGCTCTAAACTTTGGCGCTGCCTTTCCCTGACGGGAGTGCCCGAGAAGTTAGTTTCAATATTACAACCCCTTTACAATAATAGCCTAAGCCGAGTTCGAGCTTACGGCACTTTTTCAGCCGAGTTCACTACAGATAGTTTTGTGCGTTAGGGTTGCCCTCTCTCTCTCCATTTTTATTTAACTTTGTTATAGATTTAATCCTATCGATAGCGCTATCCTCGTGCAAGGATAGCGGTATCGATTTACTTCCGGTTGGCAGACTGTTTGATGTAGAGTATGCAGACGATATTGTGCTAATAAATGACGATCCAGGTAAGTTGCAAGCTTTTCTGGATAGTTTAAGTGCTAGTGTTGCCATGTTCGGTATGCGTTTTGCATCTTCAAAGTGTAAAATGCTGCTACAAGATTGGGTTGATCCAGCGCCCAGTTTCACCCTAATTGGGGAAGTAGTAGAGGAAGTAGACAAATATTGCTATCTAAGCAGCTATATCTCACCCGGTGGACGCGTCACAGATGAAGTGTCGGCGCGCATACCAAAGGCTCGATTGGCATTTGCCAACTTGAGACATTTGTGGCGCCGTCGCGACATCCGGCTGTTTGTGAAGGGTCGAGTGTATGCTGCAACAGTTCGGCCAGTCCTGCTCTACGGTGCAGAAACTTGGCCACTAAGGGAACAGGATAAAAATTGATTATCGGTGTTCAAACACCACTGTCTACGTCGCATTGCAGGAGTCTGGTNAGAAGTACAGAACCAAGAAAAGCAGGCGTAAGTGAGGTCATTAAGGAGTCTGATAGCACACTGATTCAAATTCAGGAACGTCGTCTTGAACGTTGGACAGAACATTTCAAGGCACAGTTCAGCTGGTCCACATAGGCACAAGACCTTTCCCCATCGGGTTCAACTGTGCAAATATTGCCAGTTGACATCAGTCCTCAATTTGAAATGGAGGTTACCCGGGAAATAAGTTACCTAAAACGGCATAAGGATTTCGGTCCCGACGGGCTGTCCCTATCCGTTTTTAAGGATAGAGGTCGTCCACTGGAGCAAGTGATCGACTTGCATAGATTGCGTTGGTTGGGACATGTGTTACGCTTGTCACCAGATAGGTTGCCGGGGCGAGTGATATTTTTCAAGGTTGGTAGCGGTTGGAAAAAAATGAAGGGTGATCAACTAAGACCTGGCATGAGGTTATGAAAACCCCAACCAGGAGACTGACTCACATAGGATCTGTTAAGTTCCCTGACCGGGGACCTCGGGATGATGGTCACCGATGCTTAGAGATACTGAGTGATATGGCTGGGTGTCGCAAACAGTGGCGCTCGTGTATCTACTNTGTCACCAGATAGGTTGCCGCGGCGAGTGATGTTTTTCAAGGCTGGTAGCGGTTGGAAAATATGAATGGCGATCAACTAAGACCTGTCACGAGGATATGAAAACTCCAACCGGGAGACTGACTCACATAGGCCCCTTTAGGCTCCCTGGCCGGGGACCCAGTGATCATGGTCACCGATGGTTGGCTACACTGAGTGATGTGGCTGGGTGTCGCAAACAGTTGCGCTCATGCATCTACTCTTTATCCTTTTAACTTCAGTCCATATAAATGCGTTACCTTCCGTTTGAATCTGCTGTCAATATTCCAATCATCATTCTGCTTTTTTTCTAAATGGGCAACCAAAACCGGCGCCCGAAAGTGCATGGTTAATGGTTGTGAGAACTGGACTGAACTTAACTCAGCGGCAGTGTGCTCTATATGTGATAGACTTTTGCACAGCGAAGCTCACTCATCGTCATGGTGCTTTTTTATACTCACGAAACTTCGTTTATGCGCCGCAAATTCACTCCGGAAGTGTAGCTACGAATTGGTCGGTTTATTGATTACGTATGAACAATTCGAGTCGCTTTCGCTCCATAGTCTGAATTTTGGTGCTATC